ATATATATATATATATATATATATATATATATATATAAAGCTGAAGTACTTTCAAATATTATCTTCAATATACCTGTTTGATGGGGTCTCTTCACGTTGTAAGGAAATCTTCTCATTAGGGTCCACAAAGTCCTCAACCTTTCAACAAGATTATCATATTTTGTCAAATGTGACAGTAGGTGGCACTATAAACCGCTAGTCAGCAGTGTCCACGGGCATGTTGCTGGTGTAACCCGCAGTACCACGGCAAAAGCAGAAGAAGAAGCGGCTCGTCGGAGAAGCATTATAGCCTTGAAGGCGGCAAATAAATATCAAATCATTAAATCATAATTTAAAACTACAAAAATTAGACAACGGAACAGGAGATGATGGCATTCTTTCAATCTGCACAAGGACTTGTACCACGGCAGATCAACATTGTATGTTGCGGACAACTACTGATGTATAATGCTATGTAGTATAATAAATGAGGAGACACTTGTTCTTTGCTTTGTTTTATTTTATATAAGAAGGTGTAACATTCAAATATATTAAAGTGCACATAAACACACAACTCACGTACATATGGAGGGAGGGGTTCTTGCAGACCAATCACAGCGCTTGCGGTCTGCGTAGAACTGACGCGCTGTTAGATTTTTGGAGAGGTGCATGTCAGGCTACGGCGTATGGGTGTGCGTCAATGCGTAAGCTACGGTGTAGGTCCGACGCAGAAGTATAAATCAGCCTTTAGTATGCAAGTGTTTGTAAGGGGATTTCAAGTGATATGTTGGCCCTCCCATCTCACCTCAACCATGGACTTTGGTAAGAGCTCAGCCCTGAAAAGCTGCAACATGGAGTCCATGATGTTCTTCCATCCTTCTCGTAAAATGTCACCATGACGATGGGCCAGGCTGAACATGGTCTTGGCAGCAACTTGAGCCTTCCTGTTACTGCCAAACACAGTAGGCAGGTTCTCTACAGACTAAAGGCACACAAATCCCAATCAGATCTGTTTACTCATGACCTAAAGCTGCTGCAGGAAACTGAACGCATCTGGTTAGGGTGCTTCGGGTCTTACCTCAGAGCTGAGAGTAGTAAACTTGCAGAGTGAAATAATTAAGTTATCAAAGACATCACTGAAGCCATAATGCGCAGAGATCATGGCACATTTCCTGAAAGAAAGCAAAAGGAGTACGGAATCATCATCAAAATCTCAATCGTTTGTAGAAACAAACCTCTGGCAATCATTAAACACAGTAACTGTTCAGTATCAAACTGTTTTGATTTAAAGGCTCTATGCAAAACAAGTCTACCAATCTACTGGTCTTACCTGAAGCCAGCGATGGCCTTCTGAATGATAGTGTCATCCAGGCTCTTGTCAAAAACGTAGGAGAGGGCAGCAATGGTGGGTCCCCAGGTCATGGTGAAGAGGTCGCGGTCGTAACTGCTTTCAGGCACATGCAGGAACATCCCTTCAGACGAGGCTCCTCTGTGCAGCAGAACACTCCACACATAGTTCTCCTTCACCAGCCCTGTCTGCTCATCAGGCATCACAATCTCCTCGCTCCTGCAGGACCACATACGTTTATCTCAGCTTATCCCATCTGAGTCACTGTATACATCATTATATCCACACATTTATTATTGAGCCCTGAACACTTTGAATTTCACAAAAAAAAAAGTTCACAAAAACATTTATTGTATAGCAAATTACCAGTTAAATATTTTATATAATTATATTACAAGTGTTCAACACGTAAGAGATAATGAAAACTATACATGAGCACTAAAGCAATAACTTACTTGATGGCATTGTAGATGTCTTCCAGCATGTCTTGATCAAAGTCATTTCCTCCATTCACACCTTTGAGATTCTTCTTGAATTGCTAGACAAATAGAACAAAACAACAAACAGGAGGAGGAAACTGATTAAAATGCCTTCATTCCATCCAATTACAGCGACATCCTCCAACTATCACCTTTCAAATCCAATAATTGGTCTCGGTTTATTACTGCTGGTGTCACTTAATAGGTGTTAGTGTTAAGCAGGTTGGTCTAAGGCCAGCCTAAGCTCAAATAAACACACAGACGTCCGCTGCTGAGTGATGGCGTTAGGCCACTGTTTTACTGCATACTTTCTTAATGGCAGGTAAAGCAAGGGAAACCTGAGCTCCTCCACGAGAGAGGGATGAACAGAAGGAGAAATAAACACAGAAGTAAACACAGGGTCTTTCCAGGACTGCATTTTCCATGGCTGGAGAGCTGGAGCAGACGCACACACGCTAGCTGACACAGAGATAAGACAGCTGGACGCGCCGTCTGCCAAAAGCCCAGTCCCGCCTCATCTCCTGCTGCTCGCCTTCCACTTCGCCGCCGCTTATCCCCTCTGTGCTCAGGCTGAATACCTGCTGATTACCATTCCCACTGCTCCTTGTATTCCTTTACAACACCAGTGCTTTTAGCAGGAAGATCTGTGTGAGCATCTGTTTAAATGGATCTGGTGCTAATGCATGGAAAACTCAAAGTGTCCATGGGCGCCGATGAAAAGATGCCACCAGCCACAGCCACGTATCTAAGGGTGAATCTCATGAAAACAGGTCCAAAACAAAATTAAGAAACATAAAAATAAAAAAATATATATATATTGCAAAAAGGATTTATTATTAATTTATTTGTGTTTTAAGCCTATTTTTAGAACCATGAAGGCAAAAAATCAAGCATATTTCCACCCTATTTTCATTTCCCATTATTATCATTACTGTAATACAGTAATTTTATACTTATTACTTAATATTTTCTATACCTAATTATACTATTGTAATATCATTGCTAAACTACAAATACAATACATATATGTATATGGGTCAAAGACGAAAAAGGGTTTAAGCATAAAAACAATAAGTGTAATACTGCTTTAAATTGTTGTTGTTCCCTGCTATTTCTGATCCCCAAACATTTAAACAGTAGTGTGTGCGTATATATATATATATATATATATATATATATATATATATATTTTTTT